GCACCTGGAAATCCAAGAAAAGGGAGTGCTGGCAGGAGGACACTCAGGAAGGTTAATCCACGTTAACTTCTAAGCAAACTAACTCTATGCAATGGAGCGCTCATTCAGAATGAAACCGGCCGAAATTCAGTACTTCTGAGTTTGCTTTGGGTAAAACTTTATCCAAAATGAATGAAGGCCACTTTTATTCTCAAGGAGCACATGCCTGAAGGAGTGAAATGATGGTTAATTCACTTTAAGTTCACAACTTTACACAGGCCTGGAAGGGACCTGCTGGGACTCCAGGGCCACCTTATGCTCATTCAGGCAGCCACATCACGTAACCCTTCTCATAAGTGAAATGAGCTCCATTGTAAAAAGTTTAGTTTCTTTGCCTTTCCATCTTCTCCTCTGTCCTTTCTCCTCTCCCCACCTCCACCCCCTGCTTTCTTCTGGAAAGGCTGCTCCAGAACTTAACATTCCCAAAGTCGCAGTTATTTTCCTGAGTGCCCCTTGCAGCTGGGCCCCAAGTAAGATCAGGACCCCGTTCTGCTAAGTGCTCTCCACACATAATCAGGGAAATACAGAGAGGGCCAAACAGCAGGAGGGGATATGGGTAGAGAGAAGCAAAGTGACTTACCCAAGGTTATAGAGGAGATCAGTGTCGGCACCACAAATAGAACCAGATTCCCACACCAGCAACCTATCCAGCAAATGCATTACTACTGACCCAGGCATTGTAATGACAATGCACAGCTCTCCAGTGTCCACAAGACCTGTGCTCCTGGCTTAGGGCCTGATAGCATTTAGTGCAATACTGGACGTTGCGGCCAGGAGCAGAGTAGATAAACCTTCATTTCTTTCTCTTCTTTATTTTCCCATAATGAAACAACACAAATGCAAATTTAAATTTGGCCATTTAGGACTGAGGGTATCTCGTACATCCCCTTATGCCCATCACGCTGGCATCCGGGCACTAATCAAAACCCTTTATCCTTTACCTTGCCTTGCACTGCACACATACCCACCTGCCTGCAGCACATTAATAAAGGCACTCAGGCCTCGAGTGAAGGAAAAGCACACTGAATTCCACCCTGCCTTTTATTGAATCAATATGCTTTAAGATCAATCTCTCCCCCTGTAATTAGATTTTCTTAAAAAATTATTTATGTGCTGCTCTTAGCGTTTCCCTGGGAGATAAACCTACCTGTGTGCCGAGATCAGGGGAGCAGATGGTGTCCACGCCGTGCTCTCTGCATGCACAACGTGCTAAGAGGCACAGGATTGGGTTTCTTTTCCCATTAGTCAGAGTTGAAGATCTCAAATTTAAAACATAACGAGCTGGCGTGATTAACCAAGGCAGTATTTGTCACTGCTTCTGAGTGGCGAGGGGAAGTCAGGGTGCTTGGAGAGCGCCCCTAGGAGGGAATGTGGGAAACCTGTCCCTCTCTGATGTTGGTTTCCATCCCCAGCTCTTCTCTAGAGGTGCAATGCTGCAGGGACGCAGAGCGGGGCGCTGGGAGGAAGGAGTCCTGGAGCTATTGCTGACACAGCGAGGGGGTCTGCCTGCCCACCTGTACAAGGGCAGCAGCTCTTTCAGGGGTTGACAAAACTGATCTGAATGGGCTGAAGCGAGCTGTGGGATCCTCAGTTGCAAAAGTACACAGCAGTCTTAATGGCCAGAAAGGCAGCACAGGGCTTGCACCGAACATCCCATGGGCCAGGTTAAGGCAGGAATAAGATACTGGCAAATCCGTGCTGCAGAGTACAGGGGAGCAGCTTGCTTTCCTGCTCTCTGCACAGCGACATCAGAGTACAGGAAACCTCCAGGCCTGCATGGACTTGGGTGCTAGTGGCAGAAATATGGTTCACAAGCTCAGGGTGCAGGCAGTATTCATGGGCAGCAGGGTCTGCCCAGATTGGGGGGAAAGAAAAAAAGGACTCATACTGCCAATAGCCTTCCCCCTGCACTCCTGAACCACCCAAGACATCCCACTTTCCATTGATTGGGTATCTCCTAGTCCCCCACTCCATCCCAGGAGCTCAGACCTGGGATGTGGCTAGTCAGCTATACCCTTTTAAGAGGGGCAGGTCTGACCACAGATCAGCTGAATGCATGCTCACTGTTTCATCTGTCCGCGCCTCTCCTGTAGTGCGGGGAAGCAAACACAGGGCCAGCTTCACCCTGAATAAAAGAGAGTTTCATTAAGTGAGACTTGCACAGGACAGATACAGTTATAATGCATCAGCTGCCACATGCTCATGCATGGCCCCACCTTTTCAGGCAATATAATTGTTCACCTGTCCACAGCTCAGGGCAGGATTTTGCTCAGAACATAACCTTAGTGCCCAGCCCCACAAACACCTGCTAACGAGCTCTCAGATGCCAAAGTGAGGCAAGCCAGTAAGTTATCTTAGGCAAGCTCCGTGCGTTTGAAATCTGGTTTTGCCGCATTCAAAGGGAGAAAATAAAATCAATGTCTTGTTCCTGACAATATCCCCCAGTATTAAAAGGAATGCCACTACAATTATCGGGGGCTGCTTGCTGGATGCCGTGGTTTGCAGTCTGCCCATGTGCCTCGGTTGTTATCAATTTTTAATTAGGCTAGTGCCATTAGGCTAGTTAAATAACAACCGAGATCTGTCTTTTCGTGTATGGGGGGAGTGGAAAGAGCCCGCTGGAGAACAGAACTACAAGAGTGTAAAGCATTTAAGAGCAGTTACAGCATAAAGGGCTCCAGATGGGAGTAGTTTGGCTCAGCTGCTTTCTTTTCCGTGGTTCCAGTCAATCAGGGTTACTATAAAATTGCGATTAATGAATCAAACAGCACGATGCTTTGCTGGCATCTTTAGTCTCTAGCAATTCCACTGAGGGGCAGGGGGAGGGGGCGGTGTCTGTCTGGAGATAAAGCCTATTTTTGCTCCGGCTCGATTCTAAATCCAGAACTATTTGCAAAGCTCTGCAAATATAGCAATGACTGGGAGGGTGGGATGCAACCGGGGCTGTGCTGCACCTGCAGTTTTGGAAGGACAAAGTAGAGATCAACTCTTACTTTGGCAATATAGCGCTCCGGTGAGAGCATTTGAGGGCACGCGGGCTGCAGCATATAGCTGGGGTCTGTTATGGGCCAAAAGGATGAGCAAGAGTAACCAGGGAGCGTCTCAAACCAGCAGGCTAGTGGCACCTGCACGAGGCTGCACAAATGCTCTTTGCATAGCTCAGACATTGTGATTTGGTTCTGACCCATGAGCCCGTACCTGCCCATGCAGACATGGCCTTGCCCCCCCATCTCTGGGGATGGACTCTCACCCTCACCTCCAGCACCCAGTCTGAGTCTCATCCCTACTGGTCCATCCTGCCCTGCTGCCGCACCTTCATCCTGACCCGCCGGTCCCCAACCCCAACAGTTACAAACCTGACACTGGTCCTAGCATGGAGGTTTTGAGAGAGACAGGTGTCAAGGGAATTGGCAAAGATTACTGAACTCTGTGTCCCTTTCAGGATCTAATGTAACGTCACTGAAACTGGCTTCTATGGCACCTCGGCAGCGGCCTTACTTTATTTCACTACCTACTGCTGCAGGCTATAGGGGAGAAACAGCAGGGCAGGCCTGCAGCACAGACTGCTGTGGAACAAGGAGTGCTTACTAGTGCTCTTCAGGGAGCGCATGTGTATAGTGCTGCTTTCTCAGCTAGGGACAGCGTGTTACCTCTGGCTGCCTGGCGTTCCCCGCCCTAGGGCATATGCACTGCTGTCTTTGGGCCAAATGCTCCTTTCTCGCTTCGGTGAACACATCAGGCCGGGGTGGTTACTGCATCCTGACCTTGCAGAAGGTCCTTCCATGAGTCCATCAGCAGGCTGAGGCCCTGTACAGGTTGGGAGCAAATGAGCAGTACAGCCTTGTTTGAGGCCTTCCAGGGATTCCTAGCATGGCCTGAGACCAGTTTCAGCACCATCTCCCTCACTGGGTTTTCCTCACAAGCGAGGGCATGGAAAGCTTCTCACGCCATGGGGGCCAGGCCTTGGCTCCGATGTGCAGGAGTACCAGATGAGACCAAGCCCATTGTCCTTGTAGTAAGAGCAATCCACTAGGGTCTCTGCTGGGGCAGACCCTGCAGTTTTGGATCCTATTTGGGAATATGCCATGTAGGGGATTTGCCAATCCTTTACCTTACCAGCAAGAGACACCATTTGTAATCCCCCAGCTTCCAACATTTTTCGACTGATATAAACCAGGCAGCTTTGTGGAGACCCACACCCTGAGTAGGCTGTTTCAACTTTATCCCAGTCAGACAGCAAGTCTGGGGCTGGTAACAAGCAAGCACGTTCTACCCTAGCACCAGCTGCATTTCTGTGGCCGGCTGAGCATGTCTAATGCCTCCAGGTCATCAGCTCAAGAGCAGCCTCCATTGGCAGCAACAGGGGAATGGCTGGGACGCTCCTGAGAAGCCATGAACCTCTGCTCCCAGCTTATGTCCCAGGGGACAAGCCTCCCCTTTTAGAGCCAGCCAGTGCTCTGTGTCCTAGAGGACAGGCCTCCTCCTTTAGACCCAACACAGACGAGCCCTCATTAGCAGCCACAGCACAGAGATGAAAACCTCATGATGATGTAGTTGGGGACGGTGCTGCTTTGAGCCAGGGGTTGGACTAGCTGATCTCCTGAGGTCCCTTCCAGCCCTCATTTTCCATGAGTCTATGACTATAGCTCGTGTAGAAGTCCTCCAGGTAGCTGCCCGGGGCTCACGCTGACTCGGTGTGGACGGTTTCCTAATTGGAGTCGAGCTGAGGGTCAAGGGAAGGGCGAGGGAAGGGGATGATGTGTTCAAAGGAGGAAATCGGGGGCCACAAACAAAAAGCAGGGAGGAAAGGCCAGCCGTGTGCTTATCTGGGATACGCTTGAGCCGCAAAGCATTTTGCGTGGGGCTTTCATTTGAGCTGCCTCTCTCTGAAAAATGTTAATGCAAAAGCCCCATCCCTCTGCGTGGCACTAACAGCCCCTCTCTTTCTCTACCTTGTCCAGGCCCTGGAGCAGTGCACGATGGCAGCAACGCGGCTTCCAGAGCAATGGCCTGCCTCTGGCTATCGGGCACCCTCTTTGCTCACTTCCTCATCAGGTTTTGATAAGAAAGCAGAGGGTCCTTGGAGGTGACGCCTGGCTTCTCCCACACCACAGACTTTACTCTCTACACTGCGGGGGCAACCACCACCGTTTTACAGCGTGAACGTACTGCCGGGAGGGCGGGGGAGGGGGTGAAGGGGAAGGGGAAAGGGATCTGACAGCCTGGTGAGGGGATAAGTCATGGGGGTTTCTCAAAGCAAGTCGTTTTCTTCTGCCCCAGCCCTGCCCCTGAACCCTATTTATACACATGTCCGAAACGGGAGCGTGTCTCGGCCAAGCCCATTAAAATTGCCCCAAGAGACATGCCTTGGTTTGAGAGACGATGCATAGCGGAAGCTACAAAAAAAAAAAAAGCAAAAACAAAAACAAAAAAAAAAGCAAAGAAAAAAAAAAAGAAGAGTCAAAGTGTCCTATTATCTCTGTGTCTCTTAAGCAAAAGGATTGTTCTTTCTACTTGTTACACTGTACATACTTGTTCAAGTTTCTAAGTGTCCGGTTACACCTGGGTTTCACCTTGCTTCCATCTGGGTGGATGTTTTAATAGGCTTCATCCTGTCAAGCAATTCCCATGCCCACCCCCCGCACCTGGGCTCTCAGCACCCGCAGGAAACAGTGGCTGTGGATGGTCTGTGGCACTCGTGCCATGGAGGACCAGAGAGCCCTTAAGAGCACAGCTAGGGAAATGCTAGGGGCGCTGTTGTTGCCTTGCACTGTAGCTGAGGGCTGAGTGACTAAACTGAGCGGATCTATAGACAACATGGTGAGTCATCCGTCTTTCCATCCATCAACGTAATCATGCAGGCTTTCTACCCATCTCTCTCTTCTCTTCACCCATCCATCTAATTACCTACCCATCTGGCTTTCTAGCTAACCATCTATTTGCCATATTTATCAACGATATTATCTGTGTTTCTATCCAAATCTCTCCTGCTCTGGTCTCCGTCCATCCATCAGTGTAATCATCTCGATTTCTCCAGCCAAGTTTCTTTCCCTCTCCATCCATCCGTTTCTTTTTTCCCTCTGTTTTCGCCCGGGCATCCACCTGTTACGGCGGAGGATAGTTAGAAACTCCACAACCTTATGCTTACGCCACACGGCTCCAGGCTAGCTCACGGCCCAGCCAAAAAGATGAGCAATATCTGGCCCCTTGTCTGATGAAGCCACGTCAGAGTCAAAGCACAAGACGGGTTAACGTGTACGTTTCAGTAGCAATCCATTGCTTAGTGCCACCAGGAAAAAAAAAAGCATAATAATAAAGAAATCAAGCTGCTTCTGCTGTCCTACCTCCCCAAAATGTTTCCCTTCCAGCAGCCAACACCCCAACACAAGGCAAAAACCACCCCCTGACAGCCCTTTGCCTTTCAGAGCCAGTGACTTCATATCCGCTAACAGGTGCCTGCGTCCCTGCGGCTCCGCAGGGCGGCATGCCGGATGTCTTTCAGACCAGCCCCCAAGCGTCTGCGGCTCCGAGTGGTGCATCCACTGCCCGTTCGGGGACCGGCAGAAGCCATCTCTCACCTCCCTCGCCAGCCCCGCTCCTTTTTTGTTCCCTTAGAAATCCATCCAGTCTGAAGCTGATGGAGGCCAATTATTTTGCTAGTGTGTTGACATCACTCTCGTGTTTGTTTGGGAAGCTCTTATGAGCAGAGGGTACTTGAGTAGCTGACTTAATTTCCAAGCACTTGATTAACTCAACATTGAAAACAGACGGGAAAGAGGAAGGGAAGGGGAGGGGGAAAAAAAACCCACAAAAAAACCCTATATTCACGTGGTTTCCTGTGTCTCAGCTGTTTCTGTTCAAGTCAGAGAGGGAATTTCTGGCGCCGGGCTCTGAAATGTAGCAGCAGCACTATCGAAACTTTGACTTTTCAGACTGTGGATGTGTGTTTCAAAGGTTCCTCCTGGTTCTTCTCCAAGTTTCCTGGCTCAGTTTAGGCCTTATTTAAAAGGGACGGAGCACTTTCTTCAAAGCCCAGCGACAGTAAGAAGAGGAGTCTGTATTGCCGTGATGTCTTTGAATGTACTTTTCCCAGTCAAACCTAACCGCTAGCTTTCTGGAGCAGGCGAGGCAGGAAGGGGCTCAAGGACTCCAGCCTTCTCAGATTGATCCAGTCCATCCAACAGCCCTTTCCATCACTGCCCTGGAGCAGATGGGGCCGTGCTGCAGAAACCGGATCCGTGGAATAAATGGAGTGGCTTCTACAAAACCTGCCTAGTAGAAACCTTTTTGCTCGCCCTGATACTGCAAGACACAGAGACTACTTTTGAGGTAGAAATGGAGGTGAAAGGAGACCGTGATGTGTGTGGGGTTCCCCACCCCTCCTCTTTTTTTTTTTTTTTCATTTTGCAACCGTGGCTATATGACTGTCCCGCCGACACTTGCGCTGATACCAGACACCGGGCAGTGGGGGCTGAGCGCAGTCAGGGAAGCAGTAAGGAAGTATAGGACCTACCGTACTGAGCTGCTTAGGCCATGTTTTGGGAATGCAAGATGAGTTTGTGGAGAATGAGTGACTGGCGGCTCGCAGTGGGTTCAGGTGTGATAGACGAATGGTCAAGAATGTGCCATTTGGGGTCTTCAGCTCTGTCAATACATGTAAACTTTCATGAATGATTACAAACAAGCATTCTGATGTAACTTATACAAGACTAAACATTTGGGTGGTATATTCATAAAAAAGGAAAGGGAGGGTCTTCTTTTGCGTTAACACACATAACACAATCCCAACCCATCCCAGTTCTTGAATGTACATGTTCTCTTTCCCCATGTATTTTTCCTTCCAAGGAGGGAAGGCTGGAGTACGAATAGTAGCATGTTGCACTTTCCTCTAAATGTTTTCCTGCTCTGAAAAAAATCTAACAGTGCCCTCCCCAGCTTTCATCTGGATAACAGGAACTACATTTCAGCATCCACATGAAGAAAAGGAAGCAACCCGCTATATCACTCTACCAAGAGCATTACACAGCATGGTAGAGAGAAACATAGGGCAAAAAAAAAAAGAGGAGGAAATGTTGCATGCTGAGTTAATCTCTACAGGAATCTTTGCTGCAACATTTTGGCCAACAAAGACCTTCATTCATTTTGGTACGTCACTAAAGACACGCAAAGGTGTATTTTAAAAGTCCAATACATATACTGAGTTCATTGGCTCACAAGGAGGAATTCAAAAGAACTGAAGCAATAGATTTTCATCACTTTACCCCCAGGGTCAATTGAAATATATGCTCTAGTTCAGCCACAATTTGTAGCACGAGGGGGCAGGAACCACTGGATGTCACTCGAAGCCTGTGTGTGTACTACAGGAGGCCAGATGAGATAAATGCAGGCGGGGCAAAATTCAAAGATTCAAAATCTATGAATTGATCCTCACGAATGTATTAGGTGGAAGAAACTAATAAAACCAGAAACATCGGCAGCAAGTCCCTCTGCCTGTCAAAGGAGGTCATCAAACAGCATTTTATGTGGTTAATTCTGCTCCAGCGCTGTTGAGAATCGGAGAGGAGAGCAGCTGGAGACCACAGAGGCGAGGTCCTCAGGAGGGTCATTAGCTAGCCCTATGTAACCCACTTTTCTTCCCCTCCCAACCATTGCTAGGGATGCAATAAGTCTACAAGCCTCATCTGGGGACAATTTCTGGGGCTCAGAAGAGGAAACACAAATTACTCTTACAGGCAAAGCTCTGTCAGGTGGAATCTAAAAAGCCTTTGCCTGCAACAAAACCCAAAGCAAGTCCCAATAAGCTTCCATGTGTTTCATGGACTCACTAACACTTCCAAAAAATGACGGGAACTGAAACTCTAGGAGATCAAGCTGGTACCAGACTTTTCTTCCACAACAGTCAATGTTATGTACCCTATTTATACGTGTTCTTCAGGTGGATTTGATTTTGAATGGGACCTCACGAGAAGTGCTGCTATGTGTGTGTGAGTGAGCAAGGTCCTCATGCACGCTTGAGGTGGCATAGCATATTACTCTTTTGGGCAAAAGTATATAAAAGGCTTTTCACTTGATCATCTCAAGTGCCCTGAGTTTTTAAGCTACGCTTTGGAAGGATTTCCACCTCCCTATGCAACAGGGAACCTCTTGTTTCTTGAATCTGCAGCCCATCTCCCCAGAAGAGCTTGATGTGAAGAAGATGCTATCGGTTTGCCTTGAGCAAGCCGTTGGGTAAGGCCCTCTTGCAAGATCCGCGACATTGCTTTTAACGACATCCATTACAAACCGACTCACTGAAAAAAGGGATCACTCAGAATAGTGATGCACGTGGCAGCAGGACAAAGGGTGATCCTGAACAGATCCATAGGAAAGGCTTGAAGATGGTGGGTGAATCTTTGGGTCACTTGGTCTGGATAGACATCTCAGTGTTCTTGCCCAGCAAAGGGGAAGAAGCAATGGACGGGAAGAAGACATTTCCTGACTGTAACCCCCCGCCCCAGTTATCTCTACAAACTGGTGAAAAATAAACAGCCACCACCGCAAAGCTGAACAACATTTCCATTTCTGGCCAAAAACCCGATTCACCCCCTTGCCTCCCTCGCCGACAGCAAGAGGGTTTTAGTTTTTTTTGCACAGCCCTAAGTTTTCAAAACGTTCCAAGTGCATTTTTTTTTCCCCCAAAGGAAGGAACATTTAAGTAGCCACAGGAAGCCTTTATAAAAGGCAGTGGTATATTACTGAAGAGTCCTTAAATATGGATACGATGGAACGGTCCCATTCCCAAGGAAACAATTCCCATTCTTCCCTTGCTGTAGGGGAACAGTGATAAAGACTGCAATTAAAAGGTGTGGCAGGAAACAGCTGGACTTTTGAAACCAAGGCCAAAGGATCGACGATAAATGCATACTGTCCTTCTGCTAGTTGACACACACACACACACACACACACACACACACATATATGTGTGTGTGTGTATATATATGTATCTATATATACACACACACACATATATATATATGCATATATATATATATACACACACACACATATATATATGTATATACACACACACACACACACACACACACACACACACACACACATATATATATATATATATATATATATATATATATAAAACACACACACACACACACCAATTACTCTTTAGATACTAAACATGCTGGGTCCAAGGCCAAGTGAATGGAGTGGATCAGGCATGTTTGAACGAAGGCAAGTGCATGCCCAGGTCTGTCCAGTATTGTTAAAGGGATGCTTTAGGCTCATCCAGACCCATGGCTTGAGGACTGACTTCTTCCAGCTACCATGGGCAGTGAGCGTGAAGAACAGGGGAACCTCTAAGTGAGTCCTGTCTCGGCCACACTGTTAGTTCTTTTGGCAGAGAAAACTGAAAGGATTGTCTCTCCTTATTACAAGAAGTGGGGAGATTTTTTTTTTTTTTTTTTTTTTTTTACAAGTTTTAAGTTTCTTGTGACATGTCAAGTGCAGTTGTGAGGAACATGTTGGATGTACAAAACCGTTAACTGTCCAGTTCCAAGTCCTTCTCTATGCTAGGTTTAAAAAGTTCTTCTATGACTTATCAATGGTGCAGTTCTACTAGCTGTGTCAAGGCAATGGGTGTGCACATTTTTCTCACAATTATCCTTAAAAACCACAAAAAAAAAAAATATTTTGTGTGTTCTAACGCTTTAAAGAAAAATAAAAGATCGAGTGGATACAAAAAAAAAAAAAGCAAACCTTTTTTTTCCGTTTTGTTTTCTTTTCCTGTCAGCCTTCTAGGATTACTATCATTTGATTATTATTCCTGAAAGCAATGAAGTCAAGTCTTGATTTTTTCCGTCGATAATTGTATTAAAAGGGTGAATATACTACCTGAATTTTGTGCATGTTACATTGTAGTTGTAACCTTTTCTAATTCAGAAAGAATAAGAGATGGTTGTGATTGTGCAGTGTATCAATAAAGTTTGAAGAACTTTGTACCTTTCGGGGGCTTTTATTCAGGGCTTTGCCCCATTTTACCCCCCCCATGGGTGTTAGCGAAACAACAGTTTCTAGCTGCTGGAGAGATTCAGCTTCAGCTTCCCTCTTTGAAAAGGCACTTAGGCAAGCATGTGTTGATGAAGAAATCAGTGGGACTCCAGCATTTTCTTAAGATTAAACAGGTGCTTTAAGTGCTTTGCTGATGGAGGATGGAACGAGGCACATTTTTAAGTGTTTTGCTTTCCTTTAGCCATACAGAGACTGTGTTGGTGCCCTCAGCTCCAGTTCTACCAGAGCTGGCACTTCAGGTTTGTGACTAGCCCTCCAAACCTGCCTCTCCCTTCCACGCGAAGGGCTGGCTGCGCTCATCCTCATTGCTCTGTCTTCCAGGCCTGGGCAAAGCAGTGGGCACATCCCTAAGCAGCGTCAACCAGCGCAGCACCTGGAGAGATGCTGCATGCATGCATGGAGCTTGCCCAGCTAGGCGAGCCCTGCCCTCGGAGTGAGACGTGGTGCGAGAACCAAGCACAGGGCCTGCTAAGCCCTGTGTTCATCACGGAGGCACAGAAGGGAATTGGTGAGTATTTATTCACCAAGGCGCCCCCGGGGGTTACAAGAAATAATGGCCACAAGCTAGCAGAGAGCAGATTTAGACTGGACATTAGGAAGAACTTCTTCACAGTTCGAGTGGCCAAGGTCTGGAATGGGCTCCCAAGGGAGGTGGTGCTCTCCCCTACCCTGGGGGTCTTCAAGAGGAGGTTAGATGAGTATCTAGCTGGGGTCATCTAGACCCAGCACTCTTTCATGCTTATGCAGGGGGTCGTACTTGATGATCTATTGAGGTCCCATCCGACCCTAACTATGAATCTATGAATCTATAAGCGGAGGACAACTAAGTGAACGGTTCTTCTTTAAGATCCCATCCACCAGGAGGTCCCTTGTGCCCATCAGCCTCTCGCTATAATCATCTTATCTGACCCATGCATACCTGTCTCCCAGTGTTCGTATCCCACAATTTTCACTTGCCCCTATACTTCCTTCTTCCCTCATCCACCTTCCCGCCCACGCACCCATCAACATGCAGGTAGCAAGTCCACCCCATTTATTCTGGCTGCACTCTATCCGTTGGCTTGCCTTTTCATCTATCATCCATCTATTTATTTCTACATCATCTACCACTCACCAGCCATTCATATACACCCATTATTCTCCACTCCCATTTATCTCTCTTCCCCTCCCCCACGCATCCATTCTTCCAACCTACCTGCCTAATGTAACCATCTCCACACGTATATCCATCCATTTATTGATTTAACCATCCATCCCATCCATCTATCAATCCATCCAGCGGGCGTCTCCAAGCTAGCCTCTGGCAGACACATACCTATTTACACAGCCACTTCAGTGTAATGAAAATCTTTGTTCTTATCTCTTACTAACATTCAGCAGGGGAAGCTTTATCCAGTTATTCTTTAAGCACAGCAGTTAAGTGATCCGATGCATTTTCTTTATCTTGTTCAAAAATACATGCTATTAAAAAAAAAATCCCAGAAAAACAACAGCAATGCCTTTGGAGATGTAATAGTATTAAAGATGTTTCTGTCTCTATCAAGATATATCGACGCAGGAGCAGGGGAAAATAAATAGAGAGCAAAAAACCGTGGTAGAGCGCAGGCCGGGGCTTAACCCTTCTTAGCACAGTGCACAGCTTCATCCCTTTACAATGCATTGCTGCCTGCACTTCAGGGTGTTTGCCATTGAATAACATCAGGCTCCGGTATGACCAGGAGGTCCCTTCCAGCAAAGAGATTGGTTTTTAAAGGGCCAGGGCATCATTTCATAGTGCTATCCATGTCTGTGCAAGAGTGGGCAGGCTTCCCGGTCTCTTTACCAAAGAGTTTGTGCAGGGTTGCACTGGCTTTCCCAACACAGATGCATGCGAGGCATAATAAGCAAAACCCCCACAGTCTCTGACTAGCCTGTATTAGTCTATCAACCTTTACCTCTCTGTTTCAATACCCAAGGACACTGCAGAGGGAAAGGCTGGTGTGTGGTGTTCAGCCCACCTTCTTCCCAGGCTGGTCTAAATGGAACCCCAATTACTTTGCACTGGGTTCTGCGGAGAAACTAATGCCCAGGAAACCACTTGAGGGACAAAAGAGGCAGCATTTGCCTGGCCTTCACCATCACCAAGGAGCACTAGTACTGGCCAGACACAGGGGCATGTGGATACCGTCACTGCTGTCACCTGTGGGCCTGCTGTGAGTAGCCTCTACTCCCACTGGAGAGGCAGGTGAGTAGCCTCTAGCCCCATTGAGGTACAAGTGCCTGTGCCTCCGTCACACCAGCACTCCTGGGGCTGTGAAGGCAGAGATATTTAAGACCAAGGCCTGTGTAACCATGGCCAAAGGATATGAGTTTTATGACCCTGAGCTCTCACTCCTTGCCCATGCAGCAAGTGTGTGTCAGCAGCACGCGGCAAGCTGGATCAGGACCTCGATTTACAGCCTCACAAAAGGCAAGGGGCCCCGATAGACTGGTATAGCCATCGGCACCGGTTCTGCTGCTGATCCGCAGGCTGACCTGGCAGCGCTCTGCCCAGCTGTCTGGGACAAAGCTGGTTCATAACTATGCTAAACTATGGCAACATCTCTGCTAAGACAAATGGCATTTTACCAAGATCATTCCCTGCTACTCTTCCACCCTGAAGAACAGCAGGCAACAGAAAACAACACGTACTTACCTCTACCTAGCTACAGTTGCTTTAACCTCCGTGCACCAGGCTAAAACCTAACGTGACCACTGACCAGTCTCAGGGTGGCTTTTGCACACATTTTCTTTCCAGCTGTGCCCAGAGTTTCTGGATGCTCCCAGCTAGGCCAACATAAAGGAGCCTGATTTTAAAAAAAGTGGAAGGTCAGCACTTTTCAGCAATGGCAAGCCTTTAGGGGGCTTCAAGTTGAGCCCTACCACATCACCAGTCCCTGTTACAACCATTGGGCTCCAGATCTAGCAGCTCCAAGGGGAAACCTCCAGTACTTATGGACTCAACATGCCACCGAGGCCTTGCTAAAAAAGCTGCTACAAATCAAGACAGTCACGTTCCTTTTCTGGCAGTGCCAAGCAAATATAAGAGCACCCAACAGTGTGGATTATATTAAACTACAGAGCCCTGATGAGGTGAAGAGAAATTGCACCTATCAAAGGGGAAATGAATGACCACTAGACCACCTTAAAGATAAATACGTGCTAAGAAAAACTGCTTGGCACACAGCAATCACCCATAAAGACTCAATGCGTACGAGAGCAACCACACTGCCGTGGCTGAAATATTGCAGGTATTCTCTTTTCTAAACACTGGGAAATGCAGCAGAGCCTCAGAAATTATTGCTGGGTAATTTATCTAGGAGGTCCATTAATGGTGCCCAGTGACGAAGGTCACGTGTGTCAGTTATTAAAGCTAACAGTTTGCAAATGCTGCCATTTAAATGTCACCCTTTATAGAGTACAGGACTGGAAGGGGCCTGCTGGGACAGTCAAGTTAGTCCCCATTGCTGCAAGAAACAGCACCCTATAATCTTGCCCTTAAACGCAGCACCCTCCAGCTCCAGTTAATCAGCCTTCTGTGCTGTTTCACTCTTCTTGGGCAGTGCAGTTGGACTGTTTCCCCCGCTCTGTGTGTCTGGTTTCCCCGTTTACGGCCATTTTCTACCCTAATTACTAGACTCTAGCTAATGTGGTGCTGTTGAGATCCCCATCACCATGGGGAATGCTGGACATGGTCTCTGCTGAGGGACTCTAAATGGCACCATGAGGCCAATTCAGCAGTGCCACGAACAATTCCCAGTGGGGTCAGAGAGGATGGGCTGTCCTTTCTTGCACCAGTCATGGGTTAGGTACAAAATGGTTCATGCAGCTCACTCCATCCTGCCCACCACGCAGCAGTGGGGCCTGAACAACCCCAGGCCCCATGTCG